GTAGCCACATCGGGCTGGTAAGAGGGACTGGGCGTTTAATTGGAGTTTTACACCATTCAAAGGAGAGAATGGATGAACATTAGCAATATGACACTCTAAGTCATCTCTTTCACATCTATAGTGGGCCTATATCTACTCCCACTCAACTGCAACAGAGCCATATTTCCTGTATATAGGATACAATAATGATACTGCATTGAAAACCCCCTGTCAAAATGTGGAATTTTAAGAAAAGTTTATATGATCATCATGACTATGCTTTTTTTTCTTTAACTGAACCACTGTCTAAGACCACTGTCTTTCCATAACCTACAGCTTTAGTTACCTAAACCTAACCAAATCTTACCCACACTGCAGTTGTCATGAGCAGATATTGTAGGAATAATGATGTGAGGAAACTTTGGCGCCAAACAAATGTTGTCACAGAACGTAATCTGGGTTTTTGAGAAATGGGCCAATATCAGCGGTCTGTCTGGTGAGTGGGTTGTGTAAAAATGATCTTTGCAACCAACATGTTGTGAGTTTCCCCACAGAAAATGTCCTGGCGGTGGAATCTGGCAGCAGAATCATCTGCAGGGTGTCCTGATTCAGTTTAGCTAATATCCATTCAGTTGATTACTGTCTGTTGTTGCAAAATCAAACCTAACTCTGCAAACTCATTCATCTGGCTTTGAATGCAGCGATCACAGAACCCACTGAGAATCACTGTGCGAGCTTTTGGTTAAAATTGCAGTGGACTCTTGTTTTGGTGGTGGTGTGTGTTCTGCTGTGCTGTTAGCTACGTCTGATCCTCCTCTGGCTACAGAACAATAGATTTTCATCAAGAAGGAGTTTTACAAGTTTCAAAGTGCAATTTTGGCACATATCCTGAAAGTTAGTGAGAAAATATGGTTTTTCATGTCAGTTTCTTAGAGACTCTTCATTTTTATTCCAATGCAGTGTTTTAGAAAGATATATTAGTTGAAGGTAGAAAAGTTTGTGTTTTCAAAAGGAAACACCTCTTTGGACAATCAAAAGACTTAAAACCCAAACTGGGGAGTCACCCTTACCGCTAATGTAAAGACATGATCCCTCACCAGCCTCCCATCTACACCCCTGGCTAAATGTGTTTGTTGAAACTGTAGTCAGGAACTAAACTTGACTATCTGCTTGAATGTACTGTATATTACATTGTATACTGGAGTTTGTTGTTATTACCAGTGTTTTGAGACAATGGTGACGCATGTGACCAACACTGCTGGATTGCCTACATCAAGGACACCTCACGAAACTGTCACACTGTGTTGAGGTACATCACCCAATTAATTGTGAAATGGCACACTGACACACTGATGATGAGTTTATGTCAAAATGTTTGTTTTTAATCTACTCATTTGACACTGACTATTAAAAAGCTCATGTTTTTGAAACACTCTTTGATATCAGAAAACTTATTAAAACTGAAAGTGTGTGAAACCAGTTGATAAACTCTCGGGTTATTTTCTTGGTTTATTTTTAAAATTCTGGTAAAGGTCATAATTATTTTGCCTGCGAGGTGGTTGTGATTTTTATTCTTGATTTTCTTAATTAGGAATAACGGGCTGAATGGTTAAAAAGCTTTCTCTGGTTGAAATAATGTAGGTCTTTTGGCCATTCCACGTAATTTGTGTCGCCATTCCCACTTTTTAACGTGCTGACTTCTGCCAAGTTGCGCCAAGGTGCGCTTGAGATGGACCATCTCCAGAGACAGGTCAAAGCTCGCCTGTCTGTCTCCAAGTTAGCTGTGGTGACATCAGATGGGCTTTGTCGTCATTCAGAGATTATTCAGCGACAGTTCAAGACACACCTTCAAGCGGGTAGCCGTGTTGTATGGAGATGCAAATCCAGTCAAGTCAAGCTAGCACACATGTATGGAAAAGGGCTATTAGAGTAGGAATCCAGAGTGAGCCTTTCATAGGTGTTTTAGCGATCTCGACAAGTAATAAACAAAAATTGAAATACTAATTCCTTTGATAAACTATAGGCTTTAGTGGTCCAGTAAAAGTCAGACTAAAGGCATTCGCACACTGAGTCCATTTTTCTCTGATGTGTTTTTTTAATCTGTTGTCCAAAAGAAACTGTAACGCATAGAAACTTTGCACACTGAGTCCGATGCATTTCTCTGTTCTATGCACTGCGAAAATTCGCAATGCGAGACAAAATGAAAAGACACATTTCCTCTCTTGCCTCTCTCCACTGGAGTTATTTATTTGTCACCATTCTCTCTCCGTATGTCTTGCATTTGGCACGACAGCTGCATGGAGGAACTGAGCTTTCCTCCCTGTCTGTCTTCACATTCTGTGTGTGGTCCACATCCTCCTCCTCGTCATCATCATCCACCTGAATATTACTATCTGACCTGTTGAACATGAGCTATCCGAGTTACGAAAGGATACTGTGCGACCCGTTCTTCTGTCTCGTTACGGATGTGTCCCACTGCCACATTTTCTTCACAGATTCTTGGTCAAACAGCTCTGAAGGATTCTGACATGCGTAAAATGCAGAAAATCAAACCTGTTCCGAAAACTTTAATGACAGACTAACGTTTCAGAGTCAGTGTTCTAACATGAGGTCGTATCTATTTTTAGACGTGCAACATTTCATACGAAACAAATCGACTCAGTGCGCAAAGGCCTTAAGACTGTCTAACTGCCTCGAAGAGACCCTTTTCATAACAAATTGTCATTCAGGTCAATTAAATCCAAATATCATACCCATATAATATAACCAAATACTAAAAATGCAATAGCATTTTGATCATATAGTATAAATTACATTTTCTCTATATTTTGCACCCAAACAGTACCATGAGAGCGCAGTATTTTTTAGGGAGACGGTCCTCCAAATTATGACCACATGCAGCATATTACGACCCATATTTACGTTGTTGTTAGGCCTCTAGTGGTTGTAGTAGTTATTATGAGAGCAACGCAGGAAGTCAGATGTAGTAGAGGGATGAGGTCAGGGTGGATAGATGGGTCAAACAAACACAGGACTTTCACCTAGGAGACCAATGTTTAATTATTTTGTCTATGTGATATAGGACATGATGCATGGCATGTGGCATATGTTTTAAATGTCACCTAACATACACCATGTTATATTAGTAACAAATGTACATATTTTAACCTAAACCTAACAAAGTACTTTTGGTGGTACTTTGATGCTAGCCATT